TGTGTGTGTGTGTGTGTGTGTGTGTGTGTGTGTGTGTGTGTGTGTGTGTATGTGTGTGTGTGCAAATTTATAGACAGGTACAGGTCATGAGACTGGAAAGGGGATTATAAGAACAGAGTAGAACCTTTTTTAAGGCAGTGAGGAACACACAGGACAGTGTAACCCACATGAAATGTCAGCAGATTGAAGGGCTAATTTCGGACTAACTTGAGGATAAATAGGAACCAGTTGGAGGTGGTGGCTGACAGCATGGAAGAGGCAAGCAGGGAGAGGAACAAAAAGAAAACAAAATGACACACATAGGTATAGAGATGCCATGATGGATAACTCAGTTCTGGCCCATGTGAGTAAAAAAAAAAAAAAAAAAAAGACATAGAGATATTTAAAAAGGGATACCAACAGCATAATGACTATTTTTCCAGTTGTTTTCAATATGCTAGAGCAGTCTGAGAGACAACAAATTAGATAAAATAGCTTTAGGCATTTCAAAGTACTCGATTTTGTTGTCCTACTAACAATGGCATAAACTGTCACTTAGCCTAGCATACTTGACCTTTCTTGAGGCAGCCTGCAGGGTCTGCAGAGCAATGGGGGATGTTAGATAATCTAGAGCTGAGCTGTATATTATTGCTGAAAGCCATAGACTTTAGAGGAGGACTCACTGCTGCCATTCTCCTAAATCAATGAAATTCCTCACTATAGTCTAAATTCTTATCCATATACCCACAGATACTGCTCTCATGCCTCACCAAAGCTTCTTTTTTAAACAGATGGGGAATATACAGAGATTCACAGCTGGTCAAAGAGTGCAGAATAAGTGACTGTGGACCACCCAGCCCTAATTGATACAACCACAGTGCAACCCTGTGGTGGTATTGTGTTCCCCAAAATATTGTGCACCCTAATAAACTTATCTGGGGTCAGAGAACAGAACAGCCAGTAGATATAGAGGCCAGAAAATAGTGGCACACAAGCCTTTAATCTTGGCATTCCAGAGGTAGAGATACGCCTGGATCTCTGTGAGTTCAAGGCCACACTGGAAACAGCCAGGTGTAGTAACAAGAGCCTTTAATCCCAGGAAGTAATGGCAGAAAGCAGAAAGGTATAAAAGTCTTACATTTTAAAGTTAAGGCATTTCTAAAGTATATAGGCTGGTTTAATTCAACAGTTCCTTTTATAATGCAATATTGCTCACCAGCTATTGTTTACTCATCAGTAATCAAAAAATTTAAAGTCAGTATAACACCATACAGGATCCAGACTCCCTATGTATTTCCCATCTCTATGGGGCTTATCTTGCCCCCCTTTTATTACTTTACTTCTCTTTTTAAAGGCTTTGCTGTATTATTTTTAAAGTATTTATTTATTTTTATGACTGTCTATATCCTTGTTTTTTTTAAGACTATGAACATTATTAAACACACTAACATGTTCAGAGACTTTTTTCCCATCTGAACTCACTTTATTGAATATCTATAACCTTTTGTGTCTGCATGAGCAAAACCTTAAACCAATCACTTGGCTTAGCTCATGGCACACTGGTGGCTCTAGCATGCCAGCAGCTGCCATAGACACATCTCTGTACCATGGCTGACATGAGAGAAACAAGACTAGTGAGCAAAGTTTGGCTCTGTTTTTGTGTGTTCAGAACCTTTTTGTTAAAGCTTTCTCAGGTCTTTATGTGGCTATATGTGGTCAGATGTTGGATACCATTTGTAGGTAGATTTTTCTGTCCCTCCTGCCACCTTCCAAATCATGTTGCAGATACTTAACATTAATTACAAAAGTTTGGCCCATAGCTTAGGCTTGTTTCTAACTAGTTCTTATAACAAATTAACCCATATATTTTAATCTACATTCTTTTATGTGGCTTGATTACCTTTACTTTGTAAAGCCCATGCTGCTTGCTCTGCATACCTGGCATCTCCTTGCTATTCTGCCCTTCTTCTTTCCATCATTCTCTCTGCCCCCCAAATACTGCCTAGTTATTGGCCATTCAGCTTTTTATTAAACCAGAGTGACATATATTCACAGTGTACAAAAAGATTATTTTGCAATACATGCCACTGTGAGTGGGAAAAGATTCACGAGACTCCACCCATAGATAAAGAGCTATAGGCAATCAATAACTGATGAGAGATGTCAGTTTTCTTTAGGGATCAAGATCCCTGATAGATTATACAATCACATGTAGTTATTCCTAAACATATGTGCATACTAGCAACACTAAACAGACTGAGTGTATATACATGTATGTATACTTACATACAGGTACAGATATATAGATAAAAGATAGGGTTTCTGGTTTGAGAGCTAGTGGGAGCACAGGAGGAGTTGGGAGAGGAAAGGGTACCAATTACAAAAATATTCATGTATGAAATTCTAAAGCAATGACAAACAGTCAAATGAAAACATTCTACCTCTCAGCTGTGTCTTTCCATTTCTTGGGCTTACTCACCACCTGTCACCACACTGAATGTCTGAAACAACGAAGAGTTTGTTCATGGCGACTGTTTGTCAGTCAGCACTTGGGCTTCTTCTTGAGAAGGTCACCACCCAAGGCTCAAGTTGGAACTGAAAGTCATTCAGTATCTCTAGTCTCTCTTGTAGTTATGTGAATGTGGCCTAGTCAGCTGTCCCTGTCACTCACTGTGGATGCTTACATGATATGCATCACTGCTGGTATCTTTTAATTAATTTTTAAGATAAATCAAAATGGAATTGAAATATGTTTTCCTGGACGTGATCCTAGATAAATAACTGATGCCACATCACTGTTTGTGCAATGATACCTGGCAGTAGAATGCTTCCACTGAAGACTTAAAGCCTGTCCAAACATGACTTCTTCTTGAGGCTAAGATTGTCTTACAATAAATATAGGAACTGTATATCAAAGCCCATTCTTCCAAACCACAACTTATCTTTCTTTAGCAATACATATTGTGTGTGTGTGTGTATGTGTGAGTATGTGACAATAATTAGAGAAAAAGAGGCTATGAAGTTGAAGTAGACAAATGGAGGGCATATGGGAGTGTATGGAGGGTGGAAAAATTAGGAGGAAATGACAGAGTTGTGTTATAATTTCAAAAGATATTTGAAAATCATTCAACTCATTTTCCCGTCTTTCTCTTGGCACTAGACTCCCAGTTATACCACAAAGGCCCTGTTTCTGAGTCTTTACCCTTCACCCTCTTCTCTCTCCATTTCTGCCAATCATCCACACTCACCCACATTCTTGTTCTTTCTTTTAGGTTCAGAGTTCCAAAAGCTGATTACTATTTTTCTTTCTGGACAGTTAAGTGTATTTAAATGAAAATCTTAAAATGATTTGACCCCAATGACCAAAATTATATAGGATAGTGAGAACCTTCACCTTCTGTTTCAATTTGTGCAGTAAGAAATATTCATTGGAGGTGTTGGAGATTCAGGACTGGAGAGATGGCTTGGTGGTTATGTGTGGTGATATTGTGTTCCCCAATATATCGTGCACACTAATAAATCTATCTGGGATCAGAGAACATAATAGCCACTAGACAGACATAGAGGCCAGAAAATGGTGGCACCCACACCTTCTGGAGGCAGAGATCCATCTGGATCTCTGTGAGTTCAAGGCCACACTGAAAACAGCCAGGAATGGTAACTCATGCCTTTAATCTCAGGAAGTGATGGCAGAAAGCAGAAAGGTATTTAAGGCCTGAGGACCAGGAACTAGAGCTGGTTAAGCTTTCAGGCTTTTGAGAAACAGTTCACCTAAGATTCATTCTGGATGAGGACTCAGAGGCTTCCAGTCTGGGGAAACAGGATCAGCTGAGAAGTTGGCCAGGTGAGGTTAGCTGTGGCCTGTTCTGTCTCTCTGATCTTCCAGCATTCACTCCAATACCTGGCCCTGGGTTTGTTTTTATTAATAAGAACTTTTAAGATTCATACTACAGTTATGAGCACTTGTTGTTCATGTAGAAGGACCTGGGTTCAATTCCCACCACTTACAGGGTAACTTATAGGCATTAGTAACTCCAGTTTCAGGATGTATGTGATTGCACAGACATATGTGTGCTTAAGATGTACATATAAAATACATAAATCTAAAAATCTTTAAAGAAAACAATGATGTTGAAGATTCAAAATACTAAATAGAAGCTTGTTCATGTGCTGCAGGAAGGGGGTAATTTTCTTGAAAAATAATGAAGGATCTGGTTCTTGTCTGTCTTGAGCATCCTTCTCTTTATTTTTCTCTACCCCGAAACACATTGATGTAAACACCCCTTGCTGTTGTGGAACAATATTTTTGTACACTGTGAAGTTGTGTTGCTCTCATTGGTTTGATAAAAAGCTAAATGTCCATTGGCTAGGCAAGAAGAGGTTAGGCAGGACTTGTGGACAACAAGAGAGCTCTGGGATGAAGAAGGGCAGAGTCACCAGGAGACAGGAGACATGGCAAGAAGCAAGATGATCATGCTGTGATGAGGAAAGATACTGAGCCACATGGTATATAAGAAATACTGTAAGAGCTTGCTAGTAACAAGCCTAAACTATTAGTTGAGCATTTATAATTAATGCTCTCTGTGGTTATTTGGAGCTGGCTGGTGAGACAGAAAATATTGCCTACACTCTTTGGGAGAATCTGACATCAGGAATCTCAGTGGAGTGAAAACATGTCACCCCATATTGAACTGGAGTGGCTGAATCCTGTCCCTCAGATTTTCTTATAGATCGGCTGCCTCAATTGTTTCATTATGGTCACAAAAGCTGACTAATAAAATTGACTTTGAGACTTTTATATTTTTCTGTATGTCATAACTCTGGCAACTTTGGACAGTAGCACCAACTTGTGTATCTGTGAATTGTCCCTCTAGATTTAAGGCAAAGGAGGCTCCAATACTTCCTGAGCACCCAGTTGGAACGTGTTAGTGAGGAACATCTAAGACATTTGAATATTTTCTTTTTCTTTCTTTCCTTCTTTCCTTCCTTCCTTCCTCCCTTCTCTTTCTTTCTTTCTTTCTTTCTTTCTTTCTTTCTTTCTTTCTTTCTTTCTTTCTTTCTTTCTTTCTTTCTTTCTTTCTT